GGGAGAGATCATGAAATTGGAATAGCGCCTCCGTTGATACCACCCTCCGATCGCTGTGTGAAAGAATTAGGAAAGTGTCTCCTTGTTGGCATGGTATACACGTCTTCGTCCATTCCACGACACCATCCAAAGGATCAATTCACCTTTTCAGATTACTGCATGTTTCATCTGGTCAAAATATTTCAAAAAACCGTAGTATCCTGTATTCATAGTGAACAAGAGGAGGGCTTGGCGTATTGTTGAGTAACAATTTCGTGGCATGGCATCCAGGGGGGGGGGCGAAACCGAGCATCAGACGCGGTTGGTGTGTCTTGAGTGGTCATTTCAAAGGTCAAAGAGGCTAATCCATCCGTATCACTGCATTTGAACAAGATAGATACAGTTATGATAAAGCTAATCTCAGCTTTGCAACCATTTTCTTGGAGTGGGTGATGCCTCCGTTGGCCCCAAGGCTCCCTATCGTGGTGGAAGCAAAAAATGGATGTGACCGAAGAATTCTTGTCAACGTGGTACGGTCGGACCAATAGCAGACGATTCTTCAGAAAAGGGGGTCAGTACAACCACGGTAGCTTGCACATGGTACGATCTATCTTTCGCGAGGGTTCCGAAAGTTGGGGAAAAGAGAGGCAGTTTCTACCTTGCGCTACGCGCGAAACCTGGAATTTTTTCGACTCCTTTTGTATAGTTTCGATTCGACCCAAAAGTAAAACCAGGGTTCCCCTGAACTGGACCACTAGATTATGGGGGAACGAAAAAGGTAAAATATCCCCCAGATTTACGGATGATGAGCAGACGCAGAGTGTCGGGGGGTCCAGGGATACCCCTGTGAAACCCATTTCGGATGGGACGCGGGAAGAATTTTTGCACCCCTGCAGCCCGGGGTAATCAAATTCTAGCTCAACAATTCCTTCGAAATCCCATCATTTAAGGGGATCCTAACTATTTCAGGGTCAAAAAATAATATTTATAGTTTATTTCTCCGAAAACATTTCGTGATTGATTAATGACAAAACTTTGTCGTAATTTTTGTCGTAGTTTGTCGTAATTTTTGTCGTAAATTCTCACCATCAACTGAGCTGTTACGACAAAATTTATGACAAAATTTACGACAAAATTTACAACAGAACTAAAAAAGTAGAGAGAATTCTTGGCTCGCGCGCAAGCATGACGTGAAACAAATCAATCGAAATGAGCCACAGTGTTGCCTTTTCAAGTGAGGCCTGCAATATCAAATATTTTAAAATACTGTAGTTCAAGTCTAATTTATTTCATATATCCCAATTTAATTAAACATCCAAATCTGGGTAATGATCACCAGTATTTGCGGGGAAAATTGGATGTCCATGATCCATAGCATACTGAACAAGCACAGCAACTGCCTCCAGCACAAACACATGGTTCTTCGGATCATGATGATAAGTCGCATCAAGGATTCGAAAGTCCTTCCCTTGAAAAGAGCTCTTCCAGATGGTTGATTGCACGAGTCCCTTTCCTTTACGGAGACGGACAATGACAGGTGCTGTATCTGTCCCTTCGTTGACATGCCATGTCTGCGAATTATCCACCATGCTTCATGGCCAGCATATTTTCCAGCAAAAATCTGGATCATCTCGCCTTTGATAGCGTGTAAATCTACCATCTTTTATCTCATGATGATTGTTGCATGGTATTTTTCCTCCGTCGTGCTGGGTATGTGTGTTGACAATGAAACGGAGTTGTTGGTGTTTTCAACATGAAAGTATTTGAAGTTCTCTCGGTCATCGCTAATGTTGAAACAAAGGGTCGGCGTGCGCGCAAAGGTAGATTTTGTTGTAGATTTTGTCGTAAATTTTGTCGTAGTGTTGTCGTAATTTGTTGTAGGTTTGTCGTAATTTGTGGTAGCTTGTCCTAAGTTGTTGTAAGTTGTCGTAAATATTTTACGACAAAATTTACGACAAAATTTACGACAAAAGACTTGTCGTTAATTATAGCTCCACTGTTTCGGAGAAATAAAAAAATGTTTTGCCCTAAATAATTCTATGTACCCGTAAATGATGGAGGAATTCGATGGAACAAAGTGGAGCTTGAATTCGATGCCTCCGTGCTGAGGGGGAGGAAAAGTCTGTCTGTCTCCCGTCACACTTTGGTTTCACTACAATCCGAGGCGTGTCCCAGGTTCGACGAAGTTTCGTTGGGTCCGACAAAGTTTCGTCGGTCCGACAAAGTGTCCGACGAAGTTCATCCATTTCAACGGAACGTCCACGAATGAAATGAATCTTTTTATTAGGCAGGCTCGTTTTCAGCGAAGCCCAAGCTCTCCATTGCTCAGAGTCTGTCACCGGCACGTCAGTTTCCGTCTTCCTTGCCAGGCAATCTATGACATATCCGAAGACATTCCCAGCGAGTCAGTCTGCCATTTCAGGCCGCTCCTGTGAGGGGACGTACACACGTTACCGTACATACTGTAGTCTGCATGTCGATCGTGGCCGCAGCGCTGATCACTGACTTTCATGGTTTGGTGTGAAGCCAGAATCAATTGGAAAAGGTGGAAATGAGATTCTTCGCAATTCAAAGGCAATTGCTTATCGCTACCCGTGGCGTCCAAAAGTAAGGCAAAATAAGAAATGTGTGTGTAGAAGTGTATCTCGTGCTCACCAATCTGATTATCTTAGGCGCTCTCTTGCAGGCGGACCTATTCCAGCGTCATATAAGGTGAAGAAAAACAAGTTTATCGAAGAATGGAATGGACGAAGGGAGATTACAGAAAAATCCTTTACTGCACGGCCTCAACGAGCCTTGTCTTTAGTCTTTTACGTTCTAGTTTTGCCATACGGAGCTTACGCATTGACACGTTCTGAATTTCAGAGTAAGGGAGATAGACGATACAAGGACTGCTTCTGATTAACAGATGCGTTTACGTTCGGTGTTAGAGCGCTTATTGGCTAGTTACTGCGAGATTGCCGCTTATTTACCGGATCCTTAAAAGAGCATTTGAATCTTCAGCAATAGATGCAGGTCGCTAGTTTTAAAAGACTAAAGTAGCACAAGATGGAATTTATTTGCTGACCTCTGTGCGAATGAGCATGCAGCAAAATCTGAACTTTCCGGTTGCATCGTATCCACTATCCACGTCGAAAAACTGTACAAGTATGCGGCAAAAGAGAATACTAGAATTATTTTCTGTAGGAAAATGTAATTCCAATGCATTTTTTTAACATCCTGCCTGATTTGAAAATCACAACTGGCAGATTTGGGTCCTACTGCACACCAGGTGAAAGAAGATTGTTTTCAGATGACAACAGCATCGACAAGCTCGGGCTTTGAGTCACCCGTGGACGACCAGACCAATTCCTTGGCGTTTGATCGTCATGGTTACCAGCAGCGAATCGTTCCTCTTCCAATCTCTCATATTTTGCCACATCTACAACATAATCCTCTAAGAATAAATCGAACCCCTGACCACTTGATACAACTCCGTCCAACGACAGTATCTCGTCTGCGGTTGGTCGTCTCTGTGCAGAAGGATGGGTCATAGCTTTGATAAGTTCACAGAATGGCAGTCCTCGAAAGTCAGGAAGCTGAGGCATCGAATTCGTTCTAAGTCGGTGCCACAGTGGACCTTCTGAGGGCAACTCGATATGATGATCGCTTGCTATTTCGTAGAGTGTTAGTCCCAGACTGAATATGTCGGCACTCGGCTGTCTTGTCATCGAAGAGAGTAATTCTGATGGCATGTACCTAGTATCGCCTTCTTGACCATCACTTGAACTATCAATCTCCCCAGCCAGTCCAAAATCACATATTTTACACATGGCTCCAAAGCGAGGATTTCGAACGAAAAGAATATTCGACGGTTTAATGTCGTGATGGACAAGTCCATGCGAGTGCATGTGTGATAGTCCAGCTGCAATATCATGACAAACTTTCCAGACTGTACTGTGCGGCAGGTATCGCAGCGAGCAGTTTGCATTTATTGCTGCCAGCGCGTCGTTTGGAGGTGATATGTGCCGCGAAAGACTCGGATACTTGATGTTCGAGGATTTCCAACGCAATCGAATGGAATCAAGTAATTCTTTACAAGAGTCACGACAGCACAGCTCCGTCTGGCAGAAAAAGTATCCATCTTCTTGCCAAGCACGGTAGAAGAAAAGCAAGTAAAGAGAGTATGTGCTTTTGTCAGTGCTCTGAGAAAAATCTTTCTTGGCGTCAATGGCACAAGCGGCGGTACCAACGTCCTGAAGTCTCTGCATATGCTGCACCTCAGCAAGTGCCAAATTTCTGTCTCGAATACCTCGAAACTTTCGTCGATTTCTTTTCACAGCATATAGACGGCCGTCAATCTGTGCCCTGACCTTAAATGCATCTGCGAAAGCACCGCTGCCAAGTGAACTGATAACTTCAAAGTCGTTTCTGAAAGAAACTAATCTGTTGTCTTTTGAGATCTGGGGAAGGTTGAGATTGTTTCCAATTGTCGGCAAACTGGTGTCGTAGATTCTTGAGGCATCTCTCTTCGTTTCGTTCATATCCTGTGAGAGCAAAGACGGTCCTGCACCAGGTTTGCCTTCGCTGTAGGCGGAATCATTTTTTTTGGCAATGCCACAGAGTGCGTCGGAAGACTCAGGGTTGTAATCTTCTTCAAGCAACGAATCCTCGAGAGAAGTTCGGCCCTCAAGCACATGCGAGGGGCATGCTAACAGTAGTTTCGTTGATATTAAGGAATTTTGGCGCCCGCTCATGAAGGTACCTCCTGCGTCGCTCGCCCAAGCGGGCGTTCGAACTGGAGTTGCCGGACATAGACATCCCGGCAATGTTGGCAGCCCTTTTGCCGTCTCTACAATCAGGCTGTCATCGGTCGATCGATTTCCACGAGAAGAATATGCAGCGCTTTCAAACGCAGACATATCAGGCATCGGACGCATCTGACTCTGTTTCGCGATTGCAGAAGAAATTGGGAAGTCCTGCTCTCTTCTTTCAAGCTGTGCATCGGCAATACTAGCGCCAGGAACATGGGTATAAATAGCGCTTTTCGAAAAAACGGAGGGACCAACAATTGATGGACCGTGTTGCCAATGGGTCTTGTGCTCCTCCTGTTGATCACTACTCGGAATGGGGGAACATTCAGTCTCCGGTGGGAAGTGCAAGAGAACGTCCTGCGGAGTAGTGGGTACTTGTTTTGCACACGACTGGTTTGGAGTTAGCGGTTCCTCTGACTCGTTGGACGAAGACATCAATTTGGAGTGTGTAGGAGGGGGAGAAGCCGCAGTGAGAGTCCGTGGAAAATTGTTTTCCCCAGTGTGTCTTGACTTCAGAAGTGATGGTACTGACGATAAAAGGATGATGAGACAATATCACGTCCTTCAGATGTTGTTTCAATTTTTACGTACCAAATGAGGTTGGAGGCGAGTCGCCGATCATTTGCGTAGGGCTCAAATGAGCGTTGAAGTCTAGACGCATTCTACCCACGGTGTTACTTCCGGGAGAATTCGGTGTACTATCGCTAGTGGTAATACGCTGTTCAAAGTCTGCGCAACCTGGGAGGGGCGCTGATTGCTTCGGTACACTATTGCTATCACGTTGACTGGCCTTGGCGAGGTCCTTGTAAGAAGGAACTACGCACATTGGAGAATGACGACGGCCATCAGCAGATAGACTGGAAATGCTCGTATCGTGTGTCCCGTCGTCTTCTCGGGACTGGTTCGAAACGTTGATTCCATTTCTTTCACCGAACGACATCCGTCTGCATATAGATTCGGCGTAGTGCCTTTCTACTGGATTGTTGAGTCTCGGAAGTGATTCTGGAAATGAAGTAAATCGAAACGGCTCCATTGAAGGGGGGGACGATTCACAGCTGTCAAACTCTTCTGTTGTCTCAAGGGCGGCAGTTGAGGCAGTTTTCGTCCCAGTACTGTGAACCTTTGACAGGCTGGTTGGATGTAGCATTGTATACGTTGTTCCACATTGCTTTAGGGGCGTAAGGTTGCCTGATCCTTTCATCAAGATATTCGGCGAGAGTGACCATTCACTGGTACTGCTTCTTTGATAAAGAGCTTTGATGTTTAAATCAGCAATCCTTGCGCCATTTTTTGGGATTGGCGATCGAATCGTTTGTGATGGTATTCGCCGTCGTTTGGAAACTGATGAGCAGCTCTTTGGCATTGAAGTGTGGGTTTGAAACTTGAGTTGTTGTGATGGTTCTGCAAGTGAAATGTCTGCCTGAGCTTGTTTCTGGAAAGTCCCCGCCATGGATGCTTCTGCAGCATCCATCTGAAATTTTTGACGCATATGCTTTTTCCCCGAGAATTCGCTTCGAACCTTATTCGCATACACAACGTTTCGGTGTCGTTCTGGGTCGAACCATTCCGCTGTTTTGGCATTTGAGTCTAGAAACAGTGCTGCATCAAATGAAGAGTGAAGGGATCGCGTGCTATCTGCAGCTTTTTCCACATGAACTTTTGCACCTGTCGCACTTTGGAACGATGGTTGCTCGTCGTCAAGACTTTTCGTTCGCCAAATCTTCATCATTGCACTATCTCCATGCGAATAGTCGTCTGGAGAGTTCTCATCGCATTCATTCTGAAATTCACTAGCCATCGTATTCCTTGAACAAAATCCTTCGAGTATATTATTCTTGGAAAGACAGAGGGTACAATACACAACTAATGTACCTGAGAAGGGGACAATGCAATGATAACAACAACAAAATCGAAATGAAGACAATTGATAGCGAGCATTGGAAAAGACAGGGAGATGAGTCAAAATCTCAAATCCCCCGGAAATCGCACGTCCCCCTTTATTCCCATGCCCTTTCCCCCTAAGCCCAGCGAGGCTTAGGGGGCGGGGGGAAAGGGCAGAAGAAAGGAAGAGGAAGAAGAAAAAAAGGAGGTTTTCAAGAGTTCTTTTGGGGTGATCGCGGTATCGCAAAACAAAATATCCAACCAATGAAACTAGTTACAGTTTTCAAATCCAGTTGTGATCTGGGGGGAGTCTATATGCGTAAAAACCGTACCCACCAATCACAACACCATCATTCTACAAGCCTGCATGTGGTACAGTAGAGATCGACAGAAATAGATAAGGAAAGACAGTGGAGCGTGTCCGAAAGTCTTCCATTTTCCAAATTCGCCATATTTTAGGCCATTTACGTGTGGTCCAAAGTCTTCCATTTTCCAAATTCGCCATATTTTAGGCCATTTACGTGTGGTCCAACTAGTCGACTGATATTTTTTCCAAAATATAATATTTTCCAAAATTTGATCGAGGTCAAAACGCACCTTGGCAAATTTCTTTTCTTTCATTTTCTATAAATTGGGGCTACCTCTGCACTTCTTTTTTGGGTCAAAAGAACTTCTGGGGATCTCCCCG